AAGCCGTGTGAACCAGAAGATTCCTGATACCACACAAGCTATGGAATGGTATTGCTATCCTAACATCGGGACAATCATGTAGTCTTAGGTATAGGTTATAAGTTTTAATATGTAACTCCTATTATAATATACATATAAGTAAATTTCGTAGTTACCCTGGAATCTCCGGTTGCCATCCTACATAATTCAGTGACGTTCTTTTAAAAACCAAAGTTTCAGATGTGACACAGGTATAATAAAAATATAAAAGTTGTTGAAGAACTATTAAGTCAAGTATTTTGTTTTGTCAATTTCCATCATCCCACCTTTGATCTTTGCTATGCATTTCTCTGGTGAAAGGTCAACTTTTTTATTCAATGCATTAAAATTGAAAATGTCGATAGAAAAATGTCTATATATTTCTGGAAAAAATTTCCTTACAATAATGTATATATAATATGTTAAAAATTATGAATATTTTTATAGTAAAATAATATTTATTATACTTATGAATAAAATACTGTACTTCATATAAAAGTAAAATTTATATGTTTATATTTTTCAATATACAACGTGTAACGTAATTAACGCACACCCTCAAATACCCCAATGCGTATATAATAATATAAACGCAATGCATACACCAAATATTATTTATATGTGCGTTTGCATTTTTTATTTGTGAAATTAGTTATCCCAATTTCGTGCAAATAATATGGTCCGCTATTCAGCGACACTCTGTACTCGCCGCGCCCGCGCCCCTCTCTCCGAGTGCCGTCCGACAATAATAAGAAGTAGGTAACAATAAGTACACGAAATAACTGCATACATTATGATTTTTCTTTCCATCACACTTTTCAAGCTTTAGATTGTTGACATTGAATTTTCGTTTTAATGTGAAGCCAATATTTTATAATTACTGATTTGTTAAATTAAATTTGTAAATAAGAATTATTAAACAGCTGATAACGCGTGCTTTGAATAGACACCACAATATCTACGACAAAGTTAAACACAGTCGGCCTGTTTAAATGGTGTGTATCAAAATATTTACAATAATTTAAAGATCATAAACAAACTTACAGTTTAATTTGCACTCGCACAGCGTTGTCGTTTTAAAACATTTTCAAAATGTCCACTGCCTTGTTTAATGCACTATAATGACCGTTTTCGCAATTGTGGTTTTATTTTAGATAATACTGCAATGTCACTTTTCACTTTTACAAAGGCGGTTATTATCTTATTTTTTAGTTCCTCGGCACTTGTTATCTCTGTGTTATAAACTAGCGATTTAATTCGCCCCCACAAAAAAAAGTCGAGTCGCGTCAAATCAGCTGATCTAGGAGGTCAATGGACACGTGCGTAGGTATTTGATGTATTGAATGTTAGTGTACCGAAACGACACAGCGAAATGCGCGACTAAGATTTTATTTGCACTTTACACTTAACCTCTTTTCGATAAGGTGGACGCGGCGTGACTAACTTACCCAAAACACATTTTGTTGACTTCGATGTTTAGCTATTATTACTCTGATTCCCGGAATTATGCCTGCCGTCTCGCTCTATTGTAATGTTATTAAGCCGAAGAAAGAAGGAGAAAGTAATAATTTTTGTATTACGCGGCTTTCTTTTATGCACTGTAGTGACCTTGCTGTGTGCCGGTTGTCGCTATGGTGTTGTGTGCGTAGTTATTATTAAATACTATTTTAGCCTTGAAATAAGTATCAGTTTTCTTTAATTGAATGATGATTACTAATTAAATATTTCATTTTAAAAATCTTAATACCCTGACTTACGATCCATTTTCGTTTCCATTAATTTTCGTTTCTATGAAGTGTTTAGATAACTGTGTGTAAGGTGACTATAATTTACTTAGTTCTATCTAAATTTGAGAAAAAAAATGACCTACATAAAAAACTATAAAAATCGATCCAGTATCCGATTCTGATCAAACTACTTTCAGGGTGTGCGTTAATTATGTTACACGTTGTATATATGCGTATCTCTAAATAAATAATAATTTGTACGTAAAATAACAATAAACAATAATATGTGCTTCCAAATAAAAAAAATAATCTAATTAAATTTATTTACTTTCAATTCTGCGTAGTTCATTTTGAATGTAGCCTTTGTTTCGTAGGTCATCTACGACGTAGAGCCGCTGTTGCTACGCCGTAGACGCTATTGAAATTGTTATATATTTTCAAAAGTATTTTTAGATGAAAATGTTAATTAAAAAAGATATAAAATAACTGATATAATTTAATGGTCTCTTAAGTATAAATGAGTGTATATAATAAATATTTTATTTTGGCTACATACAGACTCTACATAGCAATACTTTTTATCTTCGCGACCCGGTTAACTTTAAAACTGCTATCACAGTTTAACGAGCGACTCTATCATGCGAAATGTTAATATAAAATGCCAAAGCATTATATTAAATGCTGTAGAGTTTACTCTATATATAATTTCAGAACTAATATCCTGATGGAGATATTAAATTGCGAATATTCTATAATATTGTAGAGCATGGAGCTTGTAAGGAGATCCTCTTGAGTCTGTGTTGTGTTACGCTTCGTGGTATAAGTTTTCCTTAAGTATTATGAACGTAGCGTGGTTCAAATATAAGGTTAGTATTATATATTTGATAGTTATAAAGTATATATTAGTGAGAGTTGTTGGACAATTACATATTAGTATATGAAATTTGGTTTTCATGTTACACATATAAACACACACTTTTTCTTTCTCACACACACGCACATGCACACGCACACACACACACACACACACATACACACATTATATAACGAATTGTTTTAAGATTAGGTTTATCATTGTTCTGAAAACCGACTGGTAATGCAGTTAAATGGATTTCAAAACCATTTTTGAGTTTATCGGTTAAAACCTGTATATTATATTAAAATGTCACTTGTGACAACGTATGATTATAAGGTAGTTATCAAGACAGTAATAGAAGAGAGGTTGTATTACCAGAATTTTTTAAATATATATTTTTTTTAGCTTAGGGTATTTGTGACTTAATCAGCAGGTTTCTGTAATTATAAAAGAGAAAATTACAATAGATCTTCTTCCATGTTTTATTGATTAAAATGAACCTGAATTCAAGATACCTCCCTCTCTTTTTCAAGAAAAAATCTGATGTTTTATACGAAGACAAAGGTATCTGAAGTATTTTAAAATTGTTTATAAATAAAATGTTTTTTTTATTTGTATTATAACTAATAAAATATATAAAACCTACTTATTGAATATAACAGTTTTGGAAGTAAAATCAGTATAATTTTTTCGTCAAACTTTCTTTGTTTCGAAGACTATCAATTAATATTTTCGAATGTTTTAATTGAAGTGTTTCGTTCCTTAACTCTGTTACGTGTCATTTTCATAGTCTTTCTATATTAATTTGTAGTATGAATAATTTACTGGTTTTTCTTTTTATTTTATACCTGAAAATAGCTTTTTTTAAAGAATATTTCGCTTGCTTTCTCATCAAACATAATTATTTTATTATTAAACAATCATATTTTACAGCGTATTATTATTGTATCCTTTATATATTTTTTGTATTATTAATATTTTTTGCTTGTATTGGAATTGAAGTGATGGATTGCTTAAGTATGCTGGAAAAAATTCTTTGTTAATGTAAAGAGATATCGAATAAATTTTTATATTTTATTTTATTATTGTTCAGTATAAAATAACAAAATAATAAGATCAGTTATCATAAGTTTTTTTGTTTATGACATTATTATGTGCAATAAGTAACAATTTTACTCACATATACTTATTTAAAATTTTCTATGTACCATCATAAAGATACGATATACTTTATGACGTAGTACACTGTTCTCTAAAGTTAAATTAAAATGTTTAACCATTGAATTTAGTTTGTTTTAAATAAATAGAAAACACAATAAGTATAATAAAAGATTTAAAATAATTCATTTACTACCTATTAGATTACTATTAAGTCTTTTATATATATTTTCCATGCGTATAACTCACATGTTAAGGCTAACTAATCCAATGTAGGGTCAAGAACATGGTCTTTGCTTCGACTCAACAGTTTCATAATAAATCATTATCCATAAAGGCATGAGTGCTTTCCCTGAACAATGAAGGATGCGTTCTATTAAAAGGATAGGCTAATCAAAGGATTGTAGGAAGTCCGCTTTTACCTCAGTAAGTGGTCAGCTCACTCATGTATAATTCCCACGACCCTGAACCTTTTGAGGACGTATTTTGGTACGTTTATGATATTAACCTCTTTTTCACATATTAAATACATAGCAAAGATCAAACGATTCTGGGATATGTTATATATGTATGATTGATCACGGACATCAAATAAACTTGTTGTAAAAAAATAATTATTCTCTTTTAAACTTTAAACTTATGTATGTTGAGTTTTAACTTCAACTAAAATCGGAAAGAAAAATATATTTTTTATTGATTATTATTGTTTTCATCATCACTACATAAAAATAATCTGTATTTTCGTGGATTTCGTCCTTTACGATAAAAAAGATAAACTCATTTAAAAGAAACAAACTGGTTGATGAATTTCTATAAATTGATAAGCGCTGAAAAACGCTGTTGTTCGCCCTTTAATAAACACATTATATTTCGTTGTTGAAACTGATAAGGTTTCTGTCACATTATGTACTAAGGCAAGTGACACGCAAAGCTTTGCCGATATAAAAATATATTGATATTGAGTTTCAGACACAAGGATAGCTAAACAAGCTTTAATAATCTTTTCGGGGCATAACAAAATCGATTCTTTTCGGGCACATAAAACCCCAATAGGAACATTATCTCGTATTGGATTTGTAATATTATTGTATTCAAATCCAAAATCTATAATGCTAGTCCATCTGGGTAACAAAATTTGCAGACTCCTTTGATGCCGCAGTATTCTTTTTTCAAATGCTATGTTTACATTGCGCTATTCCTATGTAACCTGAATCAGGAAACGAGACGGTACAGATCGATGGATGCGTGTCCATGGAAATGTGTCGTTGGAGGTGTGTACGTGTGTACTCCGCAGATTGGGTCTACAGATCGGGCCTACAATGCACGTTGTTTATCCGCTAGGGTGCGGGGGGAGGGTTGGGGGCGAAGGGGAGCGCGGGCAGAGGCTCCTGGCCGGGCCCAGAGCAGTCAGTCTGTAGCCACCCTCCGCCGCAGTTGGACGTGCCGCGAGTGAACCGGTACCCGCTGATCAGATCCGACCTTCAATCCGAAAGAACGAGACGACTATATACAGGTGAGTCTGGCACTAATTTTGAAAATCATGTACAACTGGCTACGGGATGATTAATGTTATATATGGTTGTATTATTTTTCTATTAACGTTTTTTCTATAAGAAAAATGCGTGATACGGCTCTACGTATTGTAACCGCGTAGATGCGGTAACAAAGTGAGAGAGTGGAATTCGTAAAAAAAAAATTCGAATAATCTTGATTGTTGAGTCAGCTTTCAGGGTCAAGACAAGGACTTCGTGATATATATAGGGTGTGTAGATGATTTGTGGGATATAATAGAATAGATGTTCCACGCCCGCGATGTCATTTGTCGTAATTTTCCCGAAAGCCGCGACCTTGTTCGGCGCACCACGGGCTCTTTGTTTCGGACTGCTATGATTGAAAGATTAGTCTGTAAACAACTTACCCTCCATTTGTTTACTCAAGGAACTTTCCGCCATAAATACTTTTATACTATACAGGGTGTATTGATTTTTTAGTTAAATATTTTCAATAGCAATACGGTTTTCTGATCTAAACGCATGAATACTTTTAAAGAGGCACTATGCAAGATTTGATTATACTTATGTTATTTAATTCCAATGAATTTTTGATTCATACTCAAAAGGACATCTTAAGATATGTTAGATTGAAAATTACTTGTTAAATTTTATTTCATTTAAAATAATCATTTAGGTTTAGATTTCCGATCCTAACTTAAGGCAATTGCCCAGATTGTCCCACCTCACTGTCGGTGTTGTATACTTTAAAATCATTTCAAAATATATGAGCCTTTTCTCACAGCGCTTTCTTGTTTTTCACAAAGAAAAAATAGAAAGGCACCGCGAATCCCTCGAATCCGCGAATTCCCAGTCTAACTATTAGACTGTATGCAATCTTATTTTTTAGAAAATTAAAAATAATAAAATCAATTATTTTTAATAGTATAATTTTGGTAGACACATCTAATATATCGTCAGTTAAGTCTGTGGATAAATCCGCCCGATAGATGGTACTGAAAATTCACGGAGTATTCTGCTATATGACGGACTAAATAATTTTAAAACCCCGATCTTAATTTTCAATAAAACTCAGGGAGATTTTGATTGACATAATATATGTTTTTTCACAAAAAACAAACAGCTTTTATAATAAAACGGATAATAACAAGGTGCTGAGTTGTGTTAATACTCTGTTGGACATGAAAACGAGTCACGTAACGACAACAGAATTAATGTTAACACGTTTAAAAAACAACTTAAATACAGCAATAATGAGTATATTGGTCTAATGCTTTAACGAGTTGATCTAAAGAACTAAAGTTATGCAACAATCTCATAGAAAACTATTATTACATACAACTTAAAACATAGACCAAGTTTTAACCACGTGCTCACAAAATGCGTAGGACGAACCAAAATAAACGTAAAGCGTGGGCGGGTCCATAACGTCTCGACGGTGTATTAACTTTTAAAACAGATTTTTATTTATTTAACTGTTTCCTGATAACTTAACACGGTACACAGACAAATGTCGTATATCCCTCTTTCCCTCAGCCATTACTTAGGGCACTATAATGAACACACATATAATAAACACATATATACATACATATATCGTATAAATTCAAAGCAAAGATAATATATTCATTAAATAACCTTAGCGCAATTTTTGCCCATAAAAAGAAAAAACTGTTTTTTATTTATTTCTTTATCTGTTGCACATAAAAAAGTAATAATTATTATCCTTTAAAAATAAAATATGAAAATAGAGTTTTTGGTTGGTTGTAGTGGTATTATTTAACATGGTGAACTTTTTTAACGCCGCTTAATGAGAATAATATACGAAATTATTATGTCCGCATTATCAAAAATTATTAAAATATATAACATTATAATAATTCTACTTATAAATTTTCTTGTCGTTTTTTATAATGTTTATATATATATAATATATTATATATAAATTAAATATTTCCATTTATTTTTATTTAAAACATAGTTAAAATTAATTACTTCTAAATTAATGAAATGTAAGAAAAATAAAAATAACAGCGGATTTGTATATAGGATTTAGGGTAGAACAGAATGCTTCCTACGCCGTTTGAATTTGTTGGCAATTCATACTTAGCCGATGATATTATTTATAATAATCAGTAAAGTAGTTTAATACACTGAGGCATTATCACTAAACGATAATAAAGAGCTTATTGGATTAGGACTGATTACAATATACATACAAAAATGACGATGTCGCTCTTAACATCTGAATTAATCTGAATTTCTACTTCTTTTCTTCGTAAGAAAAATATTATTAACTATTTGAAATATGGCATTCTGTTTGCTATTAATATTTGTTCGTTGGACGGATAGTTTCATAAAAAAGGTGGCAAAATATTTTATTTAATTACTTTTTACTCTTTCGTAACGATGGAAATAAACACTGTAGTTAATTTTTTATGTGCTTATTAATGCTTGATGTTCAAACAAAAAAAAAAACAAAAGTATAAATTGTGAATAACTTCATAATTTAATTTGTTCTTTATATATTTTGTAGAATTTTTAACTAGTTTACCATGTGTCATATTTGTATATGAATTCTAGTCTAATATTCTAATATAATACAAATATTGTACCATTTTTGATTTACAGAGTGTGAAACTCGATAGCCTGCCCGTAAATTTATTTGTAAATATATTTTATTACTATTGAAAGTAATAATATTTTAGTATGAAGGTTCTTCTACATTACTTCAAGGAACTTGACCTTTCAGCTTTCGTGAGGCCTCACAATATATCATTCGGCCTCAAGCCGCAGATAGCAAATTTACAACCAACTGTATTTAACTTAGTTTTTCTATTGTATTGTAGATAAGTTTTCTTGGAGGTCACTTTTGAGTTGCTAGAAATCGATTTCTTTAGTCGTTATCTAGTGGTTATAAAATTGTATGTTTCCACGTAACCTATCAACCCATAATTTATAAGTTATTACACGGAACGAATTATGCTGTAATAAATTAATTTAAAAATAAATTTAATAAAATTCTTTCATAGCTTTGATACGGATGGCTTATAATTTAAGTTTAATTACGAGTGTATATCCAAAAATTTCAAACGCCTTCCAGTTTCGTTAAAAGTATGTCATAATATAAAATTCAGAACGTTCCTTATTTCAACTTTAAACAATACAGTAGATAGTAATTTTCGGTAAAGTCCCGCAGCCCGCAGCCCGCCGCACTGCGGTACATATACGACCACTCGCCTACACCGGTCATTAATCGACCTTCAACACTTGTGTTCATCATTGTACCTGTTTTAAAACGTTTTAACGCTCTATGAACGCTAAAGTCCAAATGATTTATTACTATTGCATTTCGTTAGTTTACAGACACTGCGGAATTATGCTTGTAGGTTGACATTCTTCATAAACTCCGTAAGGGCGACTGTAAAAATTGTGTGAGGTTTTAAATAAAAGTGATTAATTATCATAGTACTTCATCAGATGGTATCGAGAATTAGTGTAATGTATGATTGATGTGATTTATTCGGGTTGTTGTTAATTTCCAGTTTCTCCTGGCACTGCTTATATCTCAGGTAAAACTTATTATGTTTTAATTACTTAGCTTTTACTATTTCTCCAACTATAACTACCCAGAGATCATTATAAGATATATGTAAGGGTTCTTAAAATCCTTTTTTTCCTTTAAAAGATATAGAACATCTATCATATAACCTCTCTGCCTCCCATAGGATAGGTTATATTTAATTTATACGTACGTTTTTGGGGAACTTTGGCCTCATTAATGTTGCAAGGACACAAGATTCTACCTTCTTTAAGTTCTTATCTTGACTTTTTCTTTATTAAAATTCGCATTAACTTTTGTCGCTGGTATAAATAGTTAACAATCATCTGTTCACAGTAAAGCTAATGCTTAAACTATAAACTTTTAATTACATTTGATGTTAAAAATTCTACATATATCTAGTTGAAACGTGAAAATTATTAAATGATAATTTTTTCGATTTTTTTTTGTGATCTTATACACATAAAATAACTATAGCATACAAATACTTCTAGTATAAAATTGTCGTAGGAATATTATATATAATTTAGTATAGTTATTACGTATAGGTATGAGACAGTTGTCGAGATATAAACTCGACAGATGACTGATGATTGACATTTACAAGTCCGGGTGAGTGACATCGTGCATTAAGTGTTACAGATGTTTTGCAAAGACGTTCACATTTTTTATAATCGATACAAAAAAAAATCTGATATTTTCCATATGTTGAATCAATATTGAAAGCATACATGCTGATGATCCAAAATTAGTCAAGAGGGATTAAATTATTCACAAAAGTTGAGTACATAGTATTTCTAAATGAATATGAAGGCAATAAAATAAATAGAAAAACAGTAGTAGCTTGAAGTGAGTTATAATATTCCTGTCTTTAATACTCATCTTATAAGCATTTTAAACAATAATATTTTTTAGCACCAACAACACAGAATGTACCGAACGAAACAATTTAAACCAGTTACTTCCATATCACGTTATACGATTCCCTCCAATCATAAAGATGTCAATCACTAACGGATGTGTATCCCCCCAATGATTATTACGAATTCAATTCTGTCGCATACAAATCCGGGTTATAATCTAATAGAGCATCTGTGACTGTTTGATGTTGCTTGTTTCGACAAACTATTTGTTACATGCGACAATTGCTTGTGAAGTATATGCTCAGACAAGCCAATTATTGATAGGCTATGCTCAGATTAGCCAAATATTGATTCTAAAGATGTGTTGGATTTAAAACTAATCACTTATTTTTAAATTTTACAATGAAATGAAAATAATTATTATCACATCTCTTAGAATGTTTAAAAAATTTAGAATGAACGATTTTCAG